TAGCGATTCTGCGGGTTATGTCAGTCACTTTGGTTCTGGAAACTCCGAGCATAGCACGCTCCATCGCCCTTTTGGTGACCTTGAGTCTTCTTATGAGACCCATAGAATAAGCAGTGGTACAGTGACTTATCTCGAACACAGTACATAGGATCCGGATTTCGTTATTTGTGTTTATTTTGTGTATAACGTTGTCTAGCGTATTTTAGAGAATCGAACTCATGGCTTTACCCCTATGTAACTACTAGACTTAATTTGTAGGAAATAAAAGGCTTTTTTTATTTTTTTTTTATTTTTTTTATTTAACTACTAGACCGTACTTTCAAATATCTTGTAAACGTATAAAATACTCGTAGGTCACGTGCTGTACTCCGAGCAAAGAGCTCGTAATGCACGGTATTTCAATCCACTAATAATTTTAGTATCCTATAAAAAAGTGCTGTATCCATGCCATTTATTCCGAAGAAACCAAATTACTTTCGACCTTATCCCATTTTAATAAGAACGCTAAGACCCAGTCACTGACCGTATCAAGGGCTACCCCTAGGGAAATCTACCGCCTTTTACTTATTTGCCCAAATCATATTAAGCATGTTTCCTTGCAATAAATAGTATACCTACCCTATTTGTATAATGAGATTGAGATTTGTATCGCGAAGCGTTACCCATCTACATTACGGGATGACACGAAAGGGATAAGTTGAAGTAAAAATGTATAATAGGCCGCAAAGCCGAGCCCTTTGCGTTCCCTTCGTCAGTGTCAGCGCGACGCTAGCTACGCGACGCGACGCTACACGGTGCTACACAGTGTAGCACATACGTAGTATCGCGTAGCGCAGTGTTTGTGTGCGTACGATACCATAGATAGGTTAAATTGATAATACAATATTATATTATATTGTTTAATAATGTATAACAGTATCTCAGAACGCTACTTTAAACGCTAACAATACTTTAAGGACAAACAAACAGACGGTAAAATTACGGCTTAACCTTTTATGTAACCTGTAACGTTACGTCTAAAAGACAAAAGCAATATTAAAAATATCATTCAATTTGTTGTCCCTAATAAAATAAAATAATAAAATAAAATAAATAAATCATATCACTGAATAAATAATCCATGGCTTAACATAATTGGATTCGTGATTCTTTTCTTTTATAGAGTCTTATTTACTATTATTTATTTTGAGAAAGGTTTTTGGCAATCGACGAGTAAACATATTGGAGTCAAAGATGACAAATATGATGACAAATATAACTATTGGATCGAAGAAGTGACAGACTACGTGTGGAAGGCATTAGGGCGAAGTATATCGGATAATAATATCGCCAGTTAGCCGGCGAGTTAATAGAAAAGCTAATGCTTTATTTTCTTAGCGAAGCTCAGGGGATCGGGTGGCCATGATTTAAGATTTTTTTACTTTCCATTCCATCTCATACGCATTTGACTAGATTTTTTCGTGATTTTGTTCCTATTTTATTGTTGTAATACTAACTAAACTCTTTCGTTCGTTCGTTTTAGCCAAATGACGTCCACTGCTGGACAAAGGCCTCCCCCGAGGTTTTCCACAATGAACGGTCCTGCGCTGCCCGCATCCAGGCTCTTGCCGCGACCTTTACCAGATCGTCGGTCCACCTAATAGGAGGCCTGCCCACTGGCACTATTCCACAGGCTGGAACTAAACTATTTGTCTCTAGGAAATTCGAGAATTACAAATAACAGAATCTATTCAAAAAATTCAATCAATAAGTATAATATACCTATCTACCTTAGGTTTCCAATTTCGCTCCATTTATCAAAATAATTTGCATACGAAAAGTCAAATTACCATTTTGATGAATTCTACTTTCTTATTAAAAAATTGTCCAAATTTCGTAATTTCCTTTGTTAAAATTCTAATCTCTTTTGGATATTGCGCGCCCTTTCACCTACTTATTAGCAGTGACCTAAAATTCCCGGACGCAAATATGTATCCCGGGGGATTGAGGACTGAAATACTTACGATACTTGTGGCTTGTGCCGCTTGTGACCCCGACCTTTAGTGTTATTATAAAATAGACGACGCTTTTATCTTGCTAAGTAATGTAATTTGGTAAAATATTTCTAGATAACCTTTTCTACTTTTACTACGTAAAAGACATGCGAAGGTGAAGCATAATAGAGCATGATTTAAATATGAAAATTGTCTGTGGAAGATCTTTACAAATAAAAGCGTTGATTTGACACAATAGGTACACGACACGCCTGTTACGTAATAATTTTATTAAAATCTTTCAAAATTGCGCTACCTATCCCTATGAAACTATTGAACGTTTTCATTTACTCATCATCAGGACATTAATTAGCTTGCACGCTTATAGAAACCTCTTTTAATTTACCAGAGGCAAATAAATAAAAGATTTAGCTTACACTCCCCACATAAGCCAGACGGGCTGCTTGACCTTGAGGCTTGATGTTTTTTTTATGCATAACAAGGCAGTTATTTGACTGTTACTAGTTTATTTTTCCCTAAATCGTCTTTTTCGAGAAGAGTGGGTGATCCTATCCAACTCTCACTCAGTTTTACAGTCCTGAAAAACCCTCAGAAATCATGGAGTCACCACAGATCCGTGCTGAACTTGGATGCACGCGACTTAGCCTCGGTGCGCCGAGATAAACCCATATTGGCCATCTCGCCCACTCTGGAATCTTGCTAAAAATAATATTTTATTAGTTAACCATCATTCCCTTTATGCTTCTACTACATCAACGCTTGCAGATCGCCAGCGACACTCACTGACTGACTGATCAGGGGTGTTTGGAGGGGTAGGAGTGACAAGACTAGATTTTTCAACACGCAGCTTTATCAGATTTTTTGAACCAAAAAACAAAATGGCGGCATTTTTAAAAACAGAAACTTTTTTGTCTTTGGTCCTGAATTTTTACTTGTTTAGGGGTTGGTAGAGGTTGCCAAAAGGTGTACAAAAATGTGAGAAAAAAAACGGAAAAGCGAGCATAGGCTTCAATTCAATACCAAATATAAGCAGGGTAGACCCCAGTCTACACTTTACCAGGCCAGGGCATACGGGCGACAAGTCCATACAGCCTTACCTACTTATTGTCTATGCCCACATTGCCCACGCATGACCTTCTCTTTGTATCCCTCACAACAACAACCGCACCCAGTCTCTCCTATAGGGACCGACAATAAATAAATATCCTTGGACATTTTACACTACGCTTCTATAGTCCCAAACTAAGCAAACCTTGTACTATGGGTACTAAACAACGGATATAAACATACTTAAATAACGTACATTTATACCTACACTAGCTTTTGCCTGCAGCTTCAACCGCGTGAAATTTCGTTTGTCACAGATCGTCATAAATTATAGCCTATATGTTATTCTGGTTTATTTATTTATTTATTTATTTTAAGGACAGCCAACAAAGCATACACCTTATCTAATATAACCTTAATACATCAAACATTATGTGGTCTTACCATGGCGTGCCATGCCGTGGTAGCCTTACTTAAAGGCTGCCACGGCATGCAAATAAGTGTACTACTAGTAGAAGGCAAACACTATTTCAATTTTCTTTTCTCTTTTACATAAATCATGTTTAGAGTCTACAGTTCGTTTCGGATACATAGTCCAATCTTTAGACTATTTATCCGAAACGAACAAGTCATGCAATACAGCTTTAAATTTACGAAGTGAATATGATATTATGTCGATACTCCCAGAAGATGACCGTGACAGGCGGCTAAACTGCGATTGGATTCTATTGATTGTTGAAAAATGGCCCAAGTTAGTCCTAAACTCTTTTGCTCGGAAAGCCATATACCTAGACGGTCTAGCCAGTTTGTATGGAGTGTAGACCTAAGACAGTAGATCCCGGCAGTCGATTTGCCCATTAATAATTTTGTACAAAAAAAAATTATAAACAATAATACTGTAAAGTTTCATCAAAATCCGTTTAGTAGTTTTTGCGTGAAAGAGTAACAAACATCTAGACGTCCAAACTTTCGCATTTATAATATTAGTAGGATAGCCAACACCCAGACCCATCACACAAAATTCATCATTTCAATTTCTGCCTGGCTGGGAATCGAACCCGGGACCTCTCGGCATAGTAGTCCGATCCGAACCACTACTCCAAACGGCCGACTACAATGTTATACCTACATGCGAGCTGCGTTCACTTTGACCATATCGCAGAACGCATCCACTGTGACAATACCTTTACACAGTGACTTAGTAAGCTTCTGCTTAATTACATCATCTTAAAGATTTCCTTTAAGTTGACCTCGTATTATTATCTAGGTACGACGATCCACGATTAAAAGTAACCTTAGGTTGAACAATAAGGACATATCTTTGTCAACACTTATTTATAGTGACAGTTATGTACGTCCCATGTATATGGACTTTACCATGTGGGATGTAGGTAGGTACGTGATTTTTAAACGTCAATATACTTAAGTAGTTATTAAAAAAAACTGCCGTTTAGAGTCGCCTCTCGATGTAAATATTTTTAAAATAACTTGAAAAAAAAAATAGAACTGCCTGAGGTGGGAATCGAACCCACCCAGTTTCTAAGTAGCTCAGTACCTCTAGCATGAACAACTTTCGTCTTCGAATCGTTTGCGTATTCGATAAAATTCGATACTCAACCAAAACGATAACGTGACAATTTTGATTCTCAAAATAAGTTTCGTGCAACCATTTCTTACACTAAGTTCACTTTACGACACGTTCACAAGGACGCTGTTGTAGTTTTCGTACTAAATCTTTTGATGGCGATTCGAGTACGCAAACGATTTGAACTCGAAAGTTTTTCGTGCTAGCCGTACTGATGGAAGAACAGTCGCCCGGCAAGCGAAAGGTCGTGGGTTCGATTCCCACCTTAGGCAGTTCGATTTTTTCAGGGTATTTTAAAAATATAAATAACGAGTCAGAATTCGACACAGAGGGTCCTTAAAAGTAAAAAAAGGTAGATGCTAAGAGAGACAATATTTAAATAGGTATTTCTTTAATTAAAAAGCACAGCCTTTGGAAAATATTACAGACCATTTTATAGGTATTATAATTTCTCATCTTAAAGTAAAATAACACAGGTAAGCAAATACTAAATATTTAATAGCATCACTGCAATGTATCAAGTCCCAGATAGGGCCAGAAACACTGGAATTGTATTGATACGTAATACGTAAGTCAGAAAAGTATACATTATCATCATCATAAATTGCTAATACAATAACCGGATGGAAGGTAGTTAAGTTAGTATATAGGGTGACTTTGCAATTAATATCCAAATTTTTAGGAGCGACTCAGAATCAGTAACATAATCGATTTACGTAAAGAAAACAACATTTTTTCCACTGCGTGCGCTGGATACTGATAACAAAATCACCCTGTATTTCAGGATATAGTAATAGGTGCCTACTTTAAATTATCAAACTTCTCTCGTATTGTTTTCAAATCAACAATAACCTACATCCGTAAAGAATTTAATTATTTTCACTCAACTACAAGAACAAGTGATAAAAAGGTCAGCACTTTTGTTGAGTCTCGTACGTATCTCGTTTTACATCCGGCACCTCGAGATAGCAATACTCAATATACCTAATTACTGACTAAAGCACATCATAATATGCATTTTTGTTGCAAAATAACACCTATTACAAAATGGATAAGATACCACAGTTAAAAAACCTCGATGTACCGTCAACTCACGTAAACAACAACATAATTAACGCAAACAATTAAACTTACACTTCTTTCTTCTTTATCTTTTTATAACTTAATAAAATTTAATTGTTTTACACGTGCGTAACTACAGTGGACCCGCGGTAATCCAAAAACGTTTTGCAAGTCGGTGTCGGATTATCGAATTTGTCAGACTATTAGAGTACTGCCCTGTAAGACCCTTAATAATCCGGAATTATTCGCAGAAGAGGCCCTTGTAATCCGACAAATTACAAATCAAAGAAAATAATTTTCCAAAAATATACAATCAACATTAAAACATGTCGGACTAAGTCCCCTGTCCGGGGCGCCAGATTAACCAGGGGCGGATTACTACGTCCACTGTACAGCTTAAACATATTATATTTCTATTACTCCAAGTTTTATAGCCTCTTCTTCACACTTCCATTAACACCATCCACGTGGTTAGAACTTAAAGTAACACCAGTCAACTTCTCCCCCAAGAAGTATAAGAACAAACCCATGAGTATGCTTATGGTGAAGAATACAACAATTGAAGGCCCATCTAGGACTTCTAGAAGCGGATAAGGCCAAGCTCCCGTCCGAATACGGAGCAGGCAGGCAGTAACTATGTACCCAAAGTTAAACAAAAATGAAAATAGTAACCCACTACTTCTGGGAGGGAAGGTGATCTTGGCATATTTAAGCTCTATGCAAATAAAAACACTGTTGAATACGTGTAAGACTAAATTTACCCAATGGGGAACCAAAATGTCTATTTCATCGGGGTAAACCAGGTTCTTCTCGTAGAAATAGAGGGCCCAGAAGGTTATGGTGACGAAGAGAGCCATGGGGAAAGCCAGAGCGAAGGTCAGGTCCTTGATGGTACGGATTAATGGCTTCTTCTGCGGTGATGGCGATAGTTCGTTTGTTCCTATGAGATCGTTCAGCAGGGACAATGTGAAGTACACAGTCTGTAGACCCTGAAACAAACATTTAGCTTTTTGAAGACAATTTTTCTTTACATGGAACATTATTGAATACTTTCAAGATTTAGTGAGATTCTCTTAATATTCTCTTAATCAGAGGTAATGGATTAGAAATCTAGCGAAGTCAAAATACTACTACAGCTAAAATGTACCTACTAAAACTAAAATCACTTGCCTGTACATTACTATGTAAGTACGAGTAAACATTTTCACAATTTGGTTAGAATAGGACAGGACTTTCAGTTATTTTTCATAAAAAAATATCCAATCGTATGACTCTTAAACCCAACCCTGTGTAGAACATGCAATACACACTATTGACTTTATAACATGCTTACATTTCGAAAATCTTAACTTTAGGTTGCTTAAACTATTGTAAATTAGGAAGTTTTTATCTACAGGGTGGAATTTTGTAATGCCACCTGGAGGGAAAGTACCCTTAATACTGTAGATAGAAAATTTTACTCAAAGAAAACATTCCTTTATTTTTAAAAATAAGAAAATTTACCACCATAGGTACCTACCATTACAATTTTCTGTAAATCCCAACTATCCCAACTATCCCAACTATATAATATTATAAATGCGAAAGTAACTTTGTCTGTCTGTCTGTCTGTCTGTCTGTCTGTTACGCTTTCCCGCTTAAACCTCGCAACCGATTTTGATGAAATTTGGCATAGAGATAGTTTGAGTCCCGGGAAAGAACATAGGATAGTTTTTATCCCGGTTTTTGAAACAGGGACGCGCGCGATAAAGTTTTTCTGTGACAGACAAAATTCCACGCGGGCGAAGCCGCGGGCGGAAAGCTATATTAATATATTATTAATATTATAAATGCGAAAGTAACTCTGTCTGTCTGTCTGTCTGTCTGTTACGCTTTCCCGCTTAAACCTCGCAACCGATTTTGATGAAATTTGGCATAGAGATAGTTTGAGTCCCGGGAAAGAACATAGGATAGTTTTTATCCCGGTTTTTGAAACAGGGACGCGCGCGATAAAGTTTTTCTGTGACAGACAAAATTCCACGCGGGCGAAGCCGCGGGCGGAAAGCTAGTAATTACAATAATTTAAGATTTCATGGTTTTCCTTTCATTTGATTTATCAAGTTTGTTTGAGAGATTTCATCCTTATACTTAACCCTAACGATCGATGCAATAAAAATACAGTACCTCTATTACGAAAAACTTTCGAGTTCGTTTCGTTGCGTATTCAAAGTGTCATCGAAAAATTTTGTATGAAAAATTAAACAGCGCCCCCTATATTATAGCCGCCCTAGGGGGCGCTGTTTAATTTTTCATACAAAATTTTTCGATGGCACTTTGAATACGCAAACGAAACGAACTCGAAAGTTTTTCGTAATAGAGGTACAGGGTGTAATTTTGAACAGATTTTAGTAGGTAGGTTAGATTCCCGAGTGTAGCAAGCAAATTTTTGAAAATCTTTGAATGCAGTTCTATTTCTTTTCAAAACTAAAGGAATGTTTTCATTGAGTAAAATTTTCTATCTACTGTATTAAGAGTACTTTCCCTTCAGGTGGTATTACAAAATTCCACCCTGTATAGTATCGCTTAGCAGTTTTAACCAAATTAAATCTAACATCAGACTTTTGGAAACTATCTTTGGTGGATGAAACTGAAACGCATGAAACGGCTTATTCCACTATTCCCCGTTGACAATCCCCGTAAACGCCAATTGGAGCTTATAAAATAATCCCCGTTATACAGAAGCCCAGAAGAAAATTCACTTTTGAAAATTCAAGGAAACGAAAACTGTACATTTTTGTAGAACTTTAACTATTGCAAATTAAAGGAAATTTAGTGCAATTTATTTTAAAATTTACCTTTAATAAATTACATCGCCCAGGAGATTTCCTTGACGCTTACAACATTCGATCAACATACATCAAAATCTTGAAATGCGTTCGTTAGAATTACCGTGCATAAAAATAAACTGCAATAGTTAAAGTTCTATAAAAATGTACAGTTTGAATTTTCAAAAGTGATTTTTCTTCTGGGCCACTCTGTATTAGGATTTTATTTTTAACTCAATGGGGATTAATGAACTTTTAGTGACATTTTCGTCTTAAAAAAATGTTAGTACTTACCATACACCAAAATGTGACGAGCGACCATCGCCCTTTCAATATCAGTTCTCCATAAAGCTCTCCAGTGGTGAAAGGCAGTTCCAAATACATTTGATCATACATGATCGTATACACATTTATAGAAATAACCGCAGCGTGGAATAGAGTTAGCGCCATTTTGTTCGTCACTTCTAACACCGTTCCTAATGGATGTACAGCTTTCACTGACTTAAAAAAGTTTTAGCACGATTTTAAATAGCTCTGTTGTTAAGTTATCTATTTGGCCAGTTTGATTGGTTTTATTTATAAGACTGCGATCACACTTGAGTCAACATCTTAATTGTTATCAGCTCGGGCTATTGTTACTGTTTCTTCGATAATGTTACTTTAGTTATTATTATTTTCAAATGAAACCGCATCTGAAACTATTATTAGTTATACTTACTACTTTCACTATTATAACTATTATTTACTATATACAATTATTGAAACAAAATGCGTACAAGATCTTGGTACCTACCTATTTATTTAAATATTGTAATATGTAAAAAGTGTAAATATAAAACGTCGTGTGGCCACAGCTTAATGTAATATGAATCAGCCAATTAATCTTCAGGCGGTGCTTAAATTGTTAATAAATTTTTAACTACTGTATGACACCAATTAGGTACATAGGTACCTAAGTGTATCTAAAAGTCGTATGGAAATTTTCAGTCAAAATTACATTAAATTGTTAATATCTACACTCGTGAGCAAAAATATGGAAACGCCTTATTTGTTCCGAGCGATTTTAAGAACTAAATGACTAATAGAAAATACCTAAATAAAATGGTAGTCCATTTTAAAGGCACATACAAACACTTAAGTAGGCTTTCAGTTCTTAAGATCACTTGGAACGAAATACAATGGTATGATTCCATACTTTTGCTCGTAAGTATGCTATGATTACATAAAGTTGCTACAATACTATTATTCATCAGATAAAAATACCTACGGAAATGTATTTAGATGGTTTAAGGAAAATTGGCTAATGTTATTAGCATTCCATTAACGTTCATTTGATAGCAAACAAACGGATATATTGAATCTCTTGCTCACTTATTCAATTCATACTCACCTTTGTATTTTTTATGACCCTGGACATGGACATGGACCCTATTTCAAAGGTTGGCAATAAAATATAATAATAGGTTTTAGCGGTTCGCAATGTTACATAGATTCCGGTACCTATTAAGAGCTCATATCTCCTTATTGCGATGTTTTTAAAATTCGATTAGGTATTTTTACCCGACTGCGCCAGAAGGAGGGTTATATGTAAATGTAAGAGCACAATTTGTAAATAGGAACTTGTCATACCTCTTAAAATAATGTAGCACACAATTCTCGCGCCTGTGAGTATTGCTCAGCGCCTAAACGCAGGCGTTAGAGTTAGTAAGGGTATTAATAAATTCATGCTAGCAATCTGCATCAAACATGGATATTTAAGTTCAAAATATACGGCACTTAACTTGATAATCCAATTTCTTAACACCATAATAAACCAACTGCATTTGAAACATGGATGTGTTACATATAAATGCATCCTTATTAAGTTATCTTCATATCATCAGACAGACAAGCCATATCAGCCTATCTAAAAGTCCAATGTACAAATTGCTAAAACTGTTTAACTAAATCAGAAATACTATTTAGGTATTAATAAACCTACGTAGGTACTTATACCTGTGCTTATACTCAATTACATTACGTGTCATGATGACATGGCTTATTCCAGTATTCCCCGTTATATTATTATTTTATTTTTAACATTATAAGCTCCAATTGGCGTTAACGGGGATAATTGACGGGGATTGTCAATGGGGAATAGTGGAATAAGCTGATGACATGATCGCACGCGCAGAATTTTTATTAAGTTGTATCTTAGTCCGAGCCTTTCGCTGTCAGTGTTCGACCGGCCGGCACCGAAGCAACAGTGTCCAGTTATCCAGTTAAAGTGAAACAAACAAAATGTTGTTAGCATTATTCCATGCAGCTGTGGTCGGGATCGACGCATTTTCACTCTGGTATGACCAGATGTACCTGGATATCCCGTTACCTGCAAACAAATATGGGGAAATGCCGTTCAAAGGACGACTTATGTTCCTCACGATATGGGGATTGGTGAGTGCAAGTTACAAAATCATTTTACTGTGACCTGCTTTGTTAGGCTTGGATGACTTGATAACGGTGTAGTTAGTGATCATACGGGCTGGACCATAAGTAATTAAATAGTAGTACGATATTAAATCAGTGTAGATAACTCTGATAGTAGAAAAATTGTTCATGGACATTTTATGATGATAACAATTCTATATTTACACAAGTTGCTACGTACAAAAATACCTTTAATATTATCATGTATTACCTACTTATAAGTAAAGTAATAATTCAATCATTGTTATGTCCCAGGTTATCTACGGAGTAGGTAGTATTAATTACCAAACAGATACTTAACTGCCACTTGCAAACTTTAGCTACCTACAAAAGTCCTACTTAAGAATTGTGTCGTTGTCGTTAACTGCTAAACTGATTTTGATATTTTTGCAGATAGATTAGCTAGGACTTCGGTAAATTAACTTTTCTTGATTACTTAGAATGTAGGTAATACACCTACAATGTACTGAAGGTTGTCTGTCTAATGTAGGCAGGTAGGTATTAGTCATCATCCAAATTAGTACCTGTGTAATAAAAATACTATTGTTTGTTAACTTTAACACAGTTTATTTACCTCCTAATAATAACCTGTTTTAGTTGTTTACCAAGTTGTAGAGTTTATTCACTAACTGAACCTCTTATACCGGCATAATCGTCGTCAGTAAATCTGATATGTATCCAATATCTTACCTACTTAAAGTTAGGTATCGCCATCAGGGGCAAAGTTCGTAAACAAAACAAGTTTTTATATGATAACGTTTAGATAAGTAGTGTATATTGAAAAAATGAACAATAATTATGAAATAGTTTGGATATTACCCGTTCTTGCTACATTTTTCTTTACTTATTTGGCTGTAGGGTAATGTCATTATAGCCTAGACTTACTCGATAAAATGGGCTTCCCAACACATCAAACTAGTATATAGGTAGGTACATTGATAATAAGAGCTTAGACCTCAAAGCACAATAATGACAACACATAATTAACCTAGGTACATAAAAAAACTTACTCTTATTCTTGCTAAAAGCTTCAGTAAATTACCTAAGATGATGTGTCAGACTTTTAAAGCTTTTTGTGAGCTCGATTGAAAGCACAAATAATTTTAATTTAAGTAGGTAATACCTACTACATATTTACACAATCAAGCAGCCTAACTACCGTGTTTAATGCTAACAATTAACTGGTTATTGTGACAACACTGGTCATTGACCATGTGGGCCGAGGTCTCCGCCAAAGGCAGTCTAACCGCATATCTGCTGCGATACGCCGAAACTAAGGTCGATGCACCGTCGAATCGAAAGATGTGAAACAGTTAACTTTACAATCTAGTTAAGTAGGGTAGCTTAAAAGCTAGCTAGACACGTGTCAGGCAGAGAAAAAGTACTGCTAATTAAAAAGATTGTCGTTCTGATGTTTTACATGCTACTTACTTAGGTATCTTATTTACTTGTAGCTAATTAACTTACCTACTTAGGATTAAGTAATTTGGAATCTTCTTTCGGTTTCACCCTTGCACCCATCTAAACAGCTTTATCTGAATTATGTTAATGTATGCTAATCTAGCTATGCTGTACTGTACACTAATACACTACAGGCCCCGTCGTTAAAATATTGTTGTTGTTAATTTTACTACTATCCAATTAAATAAAGTATTAAACGAAGGTACCTACCGTTTATCTTGATTGATCCGACCGAGAATCGAACTCTAGTGTGATCCGCCTCGCTCAGATGGTAACCAGATCGTAGAATGCGTCTGTGGCGACCCATATTTTTGAAGTTCTAAATCGCCGACTTTTTTGTTTCAGATAATGCAGACCGTGTACTTCAGCATTACATTATTGAACGACTTGTTCGGCTCAAATGAAAAGTCGCCGAGGAAGACTCCCTTCATACGAAGAATCAAGGACATCGCTTTCGCCATGGCTTTCACCATAGCCGTGTACGTCTCAACTTCGTTCTGGGGTATCTACTACTACGACAAAGAATTGATTTTCCCCGACCGCTTGGAGAAAGTGTTCCCGGTTTGGTTGAACCACACTATGCATACTTTCGTGGCTGCCTTCATTCTTATAGAACTTCTAGTCACAAAGCGCTCTTATCCGACTAGGAAAGTTGGTCTAACTTGCGTGACACTTGTAGTCATAGGCTACATAAGCTGGATGCACGTTCTCCACGCCAGAACTGGTGCCTGGGTGTACCCTATCTTCGAAGTACTTAACTTGCCCATGAGAGTAGTGTTCCTGAGTTTCAGTGTTGTATTCACAGTCACTTTTTACCTGTTAGGAGAGAAATTAGATAAAATCCTTAGTCCCGCTCCTTCAAAACAAAGTCACGAACCGAAGAAAAAGAAACGCTAAAGTAAACTTGAATAGATACTTTAATTTTAATAAAATATGAATACAGCCGTTTTTTATTTACACTAAACTTGTTTTCATTTGCCCTTAGCTAAGCATTAGAGGACGTCAGCGTAACATAAAACCAGTACCCGGAGCACGAATAACATTATATGTCGTTCTCGTTATGGTATGGTAATCGTTTTTTTATTACCTTACTAGCTTTTGCCCGCGGCTTCATCCGCGTGAAATTTAGTTTGTCACGGATTGTCATAAATTATAAGGCTATATTATGTTATTCTGGGTTATAAACAATAATACTGTAAAGTTTCATCAAAATCCGTTCTGTAGTTTTTGCGTGAAAGAGTAACAAACATCCATCCAGACATCCATACATCAAAACTTTCGCATTTATAATATTGCCTAGTAGGAACTAGTATTATATTATCTGTGGTAGGAAGGATTTATTTGTTACGTTATTCGTGCTCAGGGTACTGATGATTAATTTTAATGATAGAAGAATATTGAAAGCAGGTCTTCTATCCTGTACAAAAAAAATAGAGCTGAGAGATTAGCAGTGGACGTCTTGAAACCAGGATAGGTTAGCTAATAATGGGATTTATAAGCATAGCTGGGCACCGTTAATCAAAAATTAACTTCGTTAATCGTTAAAACGTTACATTTCGCAAGATTTAACGCAAGTTAACGTTAATCGTTAATCCGTTAACACATGATAATAAAACGAAAAAAATAATTGTATGCAAGGTTCAAATAATTTGTATCGCGCATGGAATTTATTCTTCTTTTATGTTTGCGCTACAAGCTTTCGAAATTATTTGAACCTTGCATAAGTACCTACCTACAATTATTTTTTTCGTTNCCCAGCTATGTTTATAAGCATGTTTTGAATTGAAACAAACTTTTTAGTTATGTAACAAAAGTATATTTAGAAAAATTCGCATAAAACTACATTTCTCAGAGCCATCTTTATTTTTACAACACAACTGCAGATGCAAATCCATTTATTATGAATGAATTCATTATTTCATCTACTTCTTCATTAGTTTTATTCTTTTTCCTTCTACGCTTTTTCCTGGACCATTTAGCTGTTGATAAACTCATCTTATCTGCACATTTTTCAAAAATACTACATAGACTTTTGTAAAACATCAACACTGTAGTTGCACCATGAAGATATTGCTCCAAAAATTTAATAGGTTCTGTCTGATTTTCCAATTTTAGTGAAATGTTGTAAATGAAGGTCCCATTATAACATTTGTGATATATTGTACTCTCGTATGGATTACGACATAAGCTATTCAAAGAATTAAATTGGTGCAAGCAACATTGGAATTGGGCAAAACTGTGTATCTTTTTAACATCATATGTTTTTGGTCTCTTGCGTATGGATTCATCAATCTCAAAGTGCTTTATAAGCGAATTAGCTGCTATCAAACAATGCTCATACTGGACTTTACATTTGTTCAAAAACAATTCAGATTCTGGATCAGAGTTTTTGTTAACTTTCTTCTTTAACTCTTCCACTTTCTTAGAGTATTGATGAGCAAACTGGTGGTGTCCACGAAAAGAGCCTGTCCTTTCATCTACCACTTCCAACATAACATAACACAACAACAAACTGTGTACATGAGATAAAGGCACATTACATTTGGCTACCCACCAAAGCAATGAAATCATAAACAACTGAAAATTTGCGGGCAATGAACTTATATCATTCAAATCTAAAGTGGGTAGTTTCTCCTTTAGAAAATGACTGAAATATAAAGACAGTTGTACATCTGTTAAATCCTGAAATGGCACTTCAAACAGCCTCGATGTAGACAATTCTCTACCCAGAAGTACCCTTTTGTAGTTGCAGTCTATTTCTCGACTGACATAGGTGCAATGATCATGAGCGTAGTCAGTCAAGATATCAAAAATATACCTCATGATCGGCAGAGTGCACAAACAAGAGTCTTCGTCTTTATAATCTTCTGCCTGTGGATTACAGAAATACATGTGATGTGTGTATAAGTTGAGATGAGACTGTGGGATGAGCTTGTTACGTACTGCATCAGCGATCCACACTGGTAAGCCTAAAACCATATCGTCCTCAATGTTGTCATCATCTGAACTGGCTTCATCCTCAGATGAGTCCTCTCCTGACTCACTTTCATCATCATCATCATCATCACCAGAATTCTCACTATCGAGCCCTTCTGGAAATTGAAATTTTTTCTCTTCACCCTGTGATTCATCACTGATATTGAAAAATTTAAGAGATCTGCAATGTTTTTTGTTATATCCATCTATACTTTTCTTGATAATAGCAATAACTTTATCTTTGCCAGCTTTTTTGACCCTGCCAATAATTTTAGAAATGGCAGAATCTAAGGTTTCCTTTTGCAACCATTTGAAAACTCCATGAATACATCTTTGCTGGTCATTTTTGCATCGTTTGCTTTTAGGAAGTTTTAACTGCGAGAAAAATTTATTGAACACTCGTTTTTCAACATAGTCATTTCCCAATAGTGTTGCTAACAATGGCAACATTTCCTCTTTTAATCCACCAAAATTTTCTGTCAAGAATTCTACTTTGTAGAGCTTACACTGTAGGGCATGTATTCTGTTTCCATCTACATCAAAGGGCTTCGGTTTCCGCTCCAAAGTATTAAATGGGATATACAAAACATTGTAAATAAAGAAGTCTGAATCGTAACTCAAGACTGGGCAATTCAAATGTCTAGCCATAGTAGCGATTTCATCATCTGCTTCAAACTCGCATATAGTGTATGGTATGTTCATTTCTACAAGAACTTGCTTGAATACATCTCGCACAAGTAGAGGGAATATTTGTAGGCTCCCCTGAGTCACTGGGTCTAGCCTGGAGGCACCACTGATCTTAGATCTGAGGCGACTAAACACTGTGCGCAGCTTCCTGCTTTCATGGCTTCCATCGAAAATAACATAAGGAGTAATGTTACACTTGCGAAATGACTTCAGAAAATTCTTCACATAAGCGGCGAATTTGTCGTAATCACCACCGAAGGCAGAAAAACAATTCAATGATCGATACAGCTGAGCACACATACTGTTTCCATCGACGACGAGGTTGGTGTCGTGCAGAAGAAAGAATTGAAGGAAAGCATCTTGATTTAAATTCACGTAAGTAGTTAGGCCTCTTACACCCATTGTTATGCTAAATTAACAATCGCAATCACATTAATCACAACATTTTAGTTTTATGATAGATGAGGTTATTATTTGTTTCACTTTATTTATATCCTATCTCTTTTTCTCACTATGTTGATGTCAAAATGACGCCAATGACTGTATAAATCAATAGGCACACATAATAACAAATCACACAAATGCGTATGCGCAAGCAAATAATAATCAAAACTTGTAATTATTCATTTCATAAAGAGATTTACTTACATTCCCCATGGAAAATTTAAGAAAATACAGTCCATCCCACTGGATGCTATTTTGAAAGTTGCAGATACTGTAATTTCCGAACGAATGGTGAAAGATGGCGACCGACGTGTTTCTGAACGAAACGATGAATTTGACATTTCCTCCCCTCCCACTTCTTCGTTCCTTTCGTTCGCGCCGGTCGCGTGGTGTAAAATTCTTCAATTTACAACACGTGTTGTTTTTGTGAAAATTCTGAATCAGGGACAGACGCAGTGCGGAATTTTAGTGTTTTAACGCTGGAGGCACACTCTTCTCTTAATCTTATCGTATTTTGATTCCCGTGAGTATTCGTGAGTGAATTTTTGCGCACCTATCAAACATGTCTCGTATTTTGAGCGTGTTTATTTTATGGGCTGTGTTGGTTATTTTCAGCGAAGCCAACATGACTGAGGAGAAAGAAGTAGCCGTGGAGAACGGCCAAGAAAATAAGGAGACGAAAGAAGTGGACAGCGAATTGGAGAGCGCCATAATCCGGCAAGTGGAGTACTACTTCAGTGAGTAAATCAATACTTTTTTATTTATGTTTCATTTATTGCTCCGTTCCAGATTCGGCAGTTAGTTTACATTGTATCATCATAACCTATACAATATGAGTCAGTAACACTGTATGCTTTGATACAAGCATACTGTTACTGATGAAATGGTATTATTACAACATAATTTACTTTGTGACTACATACTTTATCCTTTCTTTATTTATCAATGCATTTTCCACTTGTTATTTCGTATCATGTATAAAAGACTACAAAAGGAAATGAGCTACTTTTAAAAATCTAAACTTATAAAATAATTGGGAAAACACCATCTTATTTACTAAATTTTTACCAAATTCTCAATCCTATTTTGTATGAGTATAAAATCACTACTCTCTGTGTCTAGGTGATGCCAATTTGCCGCGTGATAAGTTCCTGCGGGAGCAGGTGAAGCTGGACGATGGCTGGGTGCCGCTGGACGTGCTCACCAGGTTCAACCGTCTCGCCAAACTGTCCACCGACACAGATCTCATAGCCAACGTCTTGAACAACTCTACCTCAGGGCTCTTGGAGGTAAATATTGATATTTGGTCCTTTTCACAACAATGACTAATACCCACTAAAGCCTGGTCCGTGAGCACCTAGAATTTTGTCCAAAGACCCCAAGCTACCCATCCTTAGCGTTCGCCCGTAATTATGTTGCTGTCGCGCTCGCACACTCACTGCGGGCGCCCGTCGCACAGTCGCGACAGCAATCTAATTACGTGCTCACACACCAGGCTTTAGCTGTCAGTATCTGATCTGACAGAAATATTAGCACAGAACTTTGCTATTATGAAGAAAAAATCCAGTTATTTATGATTGATTTATTAGGTTTCAGAGGACAACAAGAAAATTCGTCGTAACCCTGAGCTTCCCATCCCAGAGATGAACGAAGAGCGTCGCAAGGAGATGACAGCTCGTACAATTTACGCTAAAGGTTTTCCCAAAGAAGCCCTTCTGGACGACATCCTCAAGTATTTCAAGCAGTTCGAAGAAGTAGAGAATGTTATCATGAGGAAATATCTGGAGAGGTCTACCAAACGTCGCCTCTTTAAGGGATCTGTGTTTGCCACATTCAAAACTAAAGATCAGGTAATTTGTACAATGAAGTTTTCTTAGGCTGGGTTGCATCATCTTACTTTAACTTTGACAAACGTCAATAATCTGTCAAACTCCATACAAAAACCACCGGTTATCGTTATAATTTTTTAAAGTTTGGTGGTGCAACTCAGCCTTAGTCTACTTCTGTTATAATTTGTAGCAACTTTACTTCACACATGGAAATGAATTGAGCCGAGCAGAATCCATGCCTACACTACGTCTGTTATGAACTATCAATGATACAACTTTTTTATACAACTTTTTCTTAATCTTCATTTTCAGGCTACTAAGTTCATGGAGACAAAGGATTTGAAATATGAAGAGACTCCATTGATCACCTTCTGGCAAGACGAATATCTGCAGCAGAAGCAGGAGGAATACCAGGCCAAGAAGGACAAGCGCGATAAGAAACACAAGGACAAAGAAGTAATTAAAAAGTAGTTTTTTACAATAACGTCCCAAATGGTACCTAAAATCTAAATTCAATGTGTAAACAGCTGTATTTCTACTTGGGGAGCAGGGCATCGGTGTGTCGGTGTATTTCGTGGAATAAATGTTGTAATGTGAATTCCAAGATTATTATTATTCTTATGATACTAAATTTTACTATCTTCTTTCAATTCGCAGCTGAAGTTGAGTAGGTATTGCTTGTGACAACCCAATGTTGAAACAAGATAATGATAAGTTCTATGGTTTCTACTTACTAATCCTAACTAAGAACATCATATTATATCTTTACAAAGTGCTCAAAAATATCATTACATGTGTATATTGTATGAAATGTGTAAAGTTATATTTGAGTACTTTCACTGATAAGATATTTATGATGTTGAGACATAAGTATAATAATTATATTAAGTAATGTTTCTTGATTTCTTTCCTAAGGAAAAAGATGATTTCAAGTTGCCAACGGGAACAGTGTTCCACTTCAGTGAGGGTGCAGATACCATGAAGAGAGAAGATGTAAAAGAAGCTTTGGTGAAATTAGGTATGTAAAAATGGAACTAACATTCTCAGTCTTAACTCTGTATCTTTTTTTATTTTCTCTTCTATAATATTAGCTATCTTAGAAAACATACAAAATGTTTATTTCTAACTAATTATTTTGTCATACAGGTGCTGAAGTAGCATACATCGACTTCAAAGTAGGCGATACTGAAGGTTGGGTACGTTTAGCTAAAGAGAATTCTGCAAAAGAAATTGCAGAGAAAATTACTGACGGCAAGATCAAAATAGGAGAAAAGGATGTTGTATTCAAGATTTTGGAAGGTGATGAGGAAACAGAGTACCTAACAAAAACTGTTGAAGAAATGGTAAAACGGCGCAAGAATCAGAAAAACAATAGCAGGCAAAATAAGGGCAAGAACAAGGGAGGCTACAAACAAGGAAGGAAGCGTCGACAGGATCAGAATGACGATGGACCCCCGTCTAAAGTGAAGGCTGATAGTTAGTCATAGTTATAAGCTAAAATATTTTTTACAAATTATAAAGTACAGCTAATTTCTTATAGACTGTACTATTGTTACATTTAAGACATTTGTTTATCTACTTGACCCATGGAAATGTCATTAAACTTAATCCTGCATCAGCAACTAAATTTTTTCTACTAGTAATGTAGATCTATGTTTTTTGCCTAATAATGTATGGTTACTATAGGATGAAAGGAAACTAGGTAGCCTTTTCATCATGATGTTGATTAAAGTTTATTGTCAAATAAAACGTCTTTTTTTCCCTACAGTATAAATAACCCATAATACATTAATTCCAGTAGATAGCAATTTATATCTTGAACGCAAACAGCAGAATACATAAGAAATGACTATTTAATCCTAGTGGCTAGTTAGGTGACCCTCTGCACAGTGCAGGGTTGCCAGGCGTCCGGATAAAGCCGGACATAGTTAGGCTTTTTGATTGCGTGTCCGGCCAAAATAACCGATGTCCGGCCTGTCGGGCTTTGCGAAAGTCGAACCACAGAATAAGGCAGGCACGCATCAGGACGTTAGGCAACCGATGATGAGGTGAGAGAGATGAGGGTAAAATGTCCGGCCAAATAAAGCACATAGTCCGGCTTTTGTTTTTGGACCTGGCAACCCTAGCAGACAGACTGCACTTAACATCAGTTTTATTCAATACAATCAAATGGGTATTTTTATACGAAATTACGTGACGCGTTTGATCCTAAATTCTATTCAGTGTGATAGCATCTTTTTATACTTATTTTTGTTTGAGGGGATTCTGAAGTACAGATGAGTTCACGGGGATCCCCTGGGGGATCGGGTTAGGGGATCATAGTGGACGACATCCAAACCTACTGAACGGATTTGAATGCGGTTTTCACCTATGAAGGTATAGGTACCTATTTAATTTTTCGATATGCGTACGATATTCTCGCGGGAATAGCTAGTGGGTATACAATAAACCTATCATGGGCCATACTCATAATCCTTAACTAAGCCATAGGCATCTGATCATTTGAAAATCTACCTCACTAAATCTGAATAAAGGTGATTCTATTAAAAGAAATAACTACATTTGTTCAATTTAAAAATATTTATTACACATCTACATGCTCTTTTAACCTAGTTCTGTAGCTGGCTGTCCTTTTAGAAACATTTGATAGCAGTTCCTTATCTTCTAAACCACCTAGAATGTTTTCATAGTCCTCTTTAGTAGCATCTAAAACAGTGTTCAAGTTACTCTCTGAGCAATGCAACATGTACCCACAAAGCAAGTTACTTAGTGGTGCTTTAATCTTCTTCAGAAATTCATCTCTGTCAGCATGATCCTCTTCAAAATCACCTCCACCATTTTGATGATCCTTTAAAGTGCAAATAGCAGTCCACATACAATAACTAGGTATAAAAAATGTGCTCGGCTCACAAATCTCATTGAGCTGTACAGTGTTAACTATTGTGTTAGTAGAATCAATTATATCAACCAAATCTGTATCCATTTCCTTCTGGTTCAGGAACTTATCTTCATAGTAAAGAAGAATGTGGTTGATCATGGTCGCTAAACATTCTTTGTTTTCATTGTATAATTCTAGGGATTTGTCGAAACCTATCAGAACCAGAGTTACCTGCATACTTACTACAGATACTCTCTCTAGCTCGTCTCTTTCGCACAATGTTTTTTGGTTATCTATAACTTCAGTGCAGGCAGTTGTCAAAGCTTCCAGTGCATCTTTATTTACGAAATGTGTAAAAAATCTAGTCCTAGTTTTTTCAGCGTTTAGGTATGTGCAAACAGTGTTGAAGTTCTCTAAAGCTGTGATTAGTAATTCCTTATTGGAGGAATTCTTTAACATGAAATAGAGTGCTTCAGAATATGCTATAGATTCGAAAAACCCCATCCAAATGACTAAATCTTCATCCTCCGCCAGGAATAGTGCTGAATTAATCAGACGTAGCAACTGCACAAGTATTAGACTATCGTCGGTCTTGACATACTCCAGTAGGTTCTTGATAAACGAGTCCATTGTTAGAAGCGTACTAGTTGTTTCTTTATGGCAGCACATATTTCCAACGATGCCCAACATAATTTCGATGATCCGTGGAGAATCAATGATGGGCAAAGCGAAGTTGAAGAGATTTAACACGTCGTGTTTTAACAGAAAGAGGACCACGTCACGCTCGGCAGTCATGTCCCACAGCAAGCATAAGTCTTCTTCAAAGGGCTTCTCCCGAAATTCGTCTTTTAGGGAATCCAAATTGGCCAGTTTCAGCAATATTTTCAAAACAAAGCGCTCACTGTAAGCGGTGTCACCAATTACGTCCCCAGCTGGAGCAACTTCGTCCTCCACGGCAGATTCTTCTTCAGGCTTCATGATCAGAATTTTAATTGTTTTGTGAACTGTTGATGACTTATTTTAGTTATTTTCCGGCATGATACAAAATAAGATTCGATTCGAGCAACAAAACATTTTTTTCTAAAACACAAATTGACAGCCTCAAAAACGTCAATGTCATTGTCAAAATTGCCTTTTTTTTTCTTTTTTACGGCATTGTCTACACTAATATTATAAAGAGGAAAACTTTGTTTGTTTGTTTGGTTGTAATAAATAGGCTCAAAAACTACTGGACCGTTTTTGAAAATTCTTTCACCATTCGAACGCTACATTATCCACGAGTAACATAGGCTAAATTTTATTTTGGAAAAAATGGGGTACGTAAAATATGTAGGTAGATAATGTAGTCCACGCGCGCGAAGCCGCGGGCGGAAAGCTAGTCATGGATAACTTGGCCTACATGCAGCTCGCGCAACGAGTTGCAATACTACTCAACTCTCGCTGCGCGACCTATAAGACTAGGCGCAGACCATCGATTTTTAGTTGGCCGATAGTTATTGTTCCCGATTTTAAATTGTATGAAGAATCGGCCAAATCGAATCGGCGTAATGTGCGCACTTCCATACATGCCCATACTGATCAACTGCCCGACTAAACTATCGGCCGACAAAAAAATCAATGGTCTGCGCCACAGATATGGATTAGAGGTCTGCGCATAGGCTAATTGATACTGTCTGTTGTAGCTGGTAATACAAGAAGTAATCTCTAGGAAGCTGCTCTGGGACCAATGTCACCAGTTTTTTTGAAGCGTAATATCATTATTCATAGTTCAGGATTCATCTCCAGATAAGCTATCAGCAAGGCCAATAAAATGAAATGAATGAAAATTTCATGAGTCTTCCACATCTCACAATCATAACCAAACTACTAAAAATTTGTAATGTATAGTAAAAATGCTTGAGCACTAGCGTGCAGGTTGCGTGGGGAATTGTTGAGTTTGAAATTTGTGTTCAATCAATGTTTAAGCTTAAGCACAGTAATAAGTTCCTTTTCTTTCTGTTCTTTGGTGTGCAATAAAGAGTATTTAGAGTAGAATACATTTGTCACCAACCCCTACTCTTCCCGCGGGTGTCGTAAGAGGCGACTTAGGGACTACACATCAAACAGAGAATGGGCAGCAGCGCTCTCTGAAAAACATCAATCTACTGCGATTTCCAACCCGCCTGCCAAGCGTGGAGATTATGGCAAAACCCTCCACTATAGTGGAGGAGGCTCATAGTCCAGCAGTGGACTGTAAAGGGCTGTTGATGATGAAGCGTAAGATTTAATAAAATTACGCAGAATATTCTGCCCTCCCATTAACGAACACCAGTCATGATGATAAGAAAAAAAACGACAATTTGTATACAGGATTATATATTTTGTAGACATTATAAAGCAACATTTACATTACCATAAACGAGTTGCACCGCCACTGCGGCGGCCTAAACCTACTCGAATGTAACAGTACACTGTAACAAAACAAAGCTCGCGCTCCATATGCTCTCACATAAAAAAACATACACCACAAATACTGAAAGGGAGAATGGAGATTAATAACTGTATTATTTTACATTAAATGTACTTATACACTAACTAACCACGAGCCTACTTGTTCCTTGAGCGGAACTAAATCGCACATTTTATTTTAAATATCGATTCGTAAATATTTAGATATAATTATATCGTTAGAGATAAAAAAACAGGATAAAGACTAGACTTTACACTGATCAACGACGAACTGGCTAACAGCAACATATCGCGAGTGGCGCCGCTCTGCGGACGGCGGACGGAACTAAGCTAACGAACGCCGATGCCACGTCACACGCGGTGGCAAACACAACCGCCTTAATAATACATAATAGTCAATTAACGCATCGGGCGATAGTCTTCCCTCCGCCCGCACAAAGACGCTAGTTAACGTACATAAAATATTACATGTTACCTACTCAATAAATTACATAAATTATCTGAATTTAAAACAAGTCTTAGGCTTTTGATAAACATATTGTTTGTAGTACCATGACAAATCCCATTTTCACTACATTCAAACGTCAATGCGCACTGGACCGACGCGACGGCGCGATGCAGCGCGCAGCGACCTAACTCAAATATTTACAAAACAAAATAATAATAAAGTAGGCAGAATAAGCCGCGGGTGATATGAACGCAGGTCGACCCCTTTGTACCAACAGGGATATGTATCTTGTAAAAGTTGTGACTTTGTATCGATAATACGTTGCATTGCGAACGCCTAAATTACATAACACTCGTTTTGCCATTCCATACATAAATAGCCAATCATAATCCTCAAAAAAAATCATCCACTAACGCTTCGTCAAATCAATTTTGATGTAAATTAATAATACACAATGTGCGTGTACGTAAAATTAAATACTTTTAAAATTAAAAGTTATAAAAAAATGAAATCCTTGCAATACTTTAGACAGGCCATTCCAACCAATTTATATCCAATAATATAGGTCCAATTTTGGCACATAACCTTCGAATACGCGTTAAATAATACTATGAACTGCAAATGGCAGTGTTATAATCACCGACATATTACAAAGACGGCGCGCACGCAGGCAACTAAGTTTCAGCTACGTTGACTTATCTGGGCGACAATCGGTTGATATAAGTTCTAATAATTGCGTTGAGTAAACGTAGAAAATACACCAGTTTACCGTACGTGTGCAGCCGCCTTTTTAGAGGGGATTAATGAAGAAAGTCAATCAGTCAATCGATTACCTACTTTTAAAGTTTATTCATGTCAAATACCTCGATTTTGTCACTAAACATTTGAATGACTGTTCAGATGAATGATATTTAAGTGGCGTAAAGGTATCGACAAAAATAAACTTTAAAAGAGCAACTTTTTTGGAAAGAAATAAAAATATTTGACAAAAAATGACTCCCCAATAACCCCCATTTGCCTCCCTGTTAGATATGTTCGACAAATATGGATCAAAAAACGTGTGCGTTCTAGTTCTTATACAAAACATGCGACGGTGATATAAACCTTAACGATCGAACATACGAACAGAAAAGCAAGGCTCTCTACAATTAATTTCTTTGGTATATTTTTGTGAGCAACGACAAGTGATTACAGTTTGAGTATATTATTACATTTATATATCTAAAAGCGACAATGATATTTCATATGATACCGAAATACTGACGTTTGGACCAATTAACAGTGCCAATATTGGTTGTTCCATTTTGAATGCGTTTTGTTTTTTTTTTTTTTCGGAAAGAAACAAGGCGCATTGTCTATGGCGTAGTTTATGACCGCACCCGCCAGCCTTCTGAGTCCAAACGAGACGAACAGAGGTTGTAATGGATGTTTCGCGGCGACCGAGTGCGTCGGGCACGGCCGAGTCGCTGGAATGTTCACACGACGCCGGCGAAACAACTTCACCGCACGGCTAGGCCCCACAGATACATATTGCTTTCATATAAGCGTATTAAATCCATCAAGAGTAGGTACGATACACTCAATTTGTACTTACACTCAGACATCTAAACACGAGTAAATATACATCGAAACAACCTACTTTCCCCGTCTTCGTTGTCTTAAAAGGACAGCTATGTTCACATCGATAGGATAGCTACGGGGCCACACACAGAGATTTACGATTCGTAGAATAAATATAGGAATACAACTACACAGTCTGTTAACGGCAAGGGACTATCAATACATCGAATAAAGTTTTTCACTGTCATACGTAATTTTCGCGAGAGTATACAATTACATGAGTTTGCAACAAAAATATTGCATCGGCTAAGTAGAAAGACACTTGGAGAGTGCGTTTTTTTGTTTATTTCGTAAAAATACAATATGATTATTTCGATGTTCACGGATTGGATAGGTCGCGAAAATGGCGGCGAATATTCCGGAGTCTCGACCGGCTTGCACAGCGGCCCCGATCACAACATTATCACACTCGGGGATATGACACCATGTAACAAAAGTAACTGTACAACATCCCGATTACAAACGATTTTCACTCATCTGCTTTTTTAATAAAGGCATTTTTCAACTGAAAATACTGTCAATACCATAATCGTGTTCAAAAACAAAATTCAAAATAATGTATTCTTTGCATATTTCTGAACTTATTTCCTCAGTCAATTTTACATTGTAAATTATAATCAAAACTACTGCAACAGGGTAAACTTTGTCTATGTAAAACCATAGATCATCTCCAAGACTGTGTTGCCAGGTACAATAAATAAAGTACAAAAGTCTTCCGATTAGAATTCTTTGAGAAAACAGTGAAGCAATAAGAAATGAACACATTGATTTCAAATTTGGCTTAATCTGAGGTGTTCCACTGCAAATGCCTTTTAAAAAAGCACATGGGTGTCAACCGTAGGGATGTGGCACTCAAATCACGTTGATATCGAGATTATATCACTCCGTGGGCGCTCATGCGCCAGAGAAGCCGTAGACCTCCAAAACTCGTATCTCGAAGTCGCCGCTGGGGCACAGAGGCGGGTTGTTGAAGGTGGAGCAGCGGTCAGTCTTGCCGAACCTTATGTTCTCGTCCATCCAGATCGCTTGCCCGTCACTGTAAGATGATAATTACTATGTTATCGGCAAATTCGAAGTCTTCACAACCATACTGGAGTAGTTTGTGATACTAGTGTCGTCAGATCGCATCGCATCGTACCTTATTGGTTCTCTTCGAGATTCGTAGCGTTGTCTCACTTTTACTTTCGGGTCTTTTAACGAGCAAGAGCGACAACACTGTACAAACTTTCAAGTTGCTATTAAGGTGGCCATCCACTAACTTGCGAATATCGTACGCTCCTCTCTCCTGCAACTGCTCTAGAGAGATTTGCTCATAAACTACACGCACGACTTGAATGAGGGCTATCGTTTTTATACTCAACAGTTGGCACCCCTGGCGATTGACAGGACCTTACTCTACAGTGGCGCCATCTTGATGAGTGCAAATGCGATAGTCCTCTTTCGTGCTCACCAGTTGGCGCCACTGTCTTCGCGACTAGCAAGTGACAGGACCTTACTCTACAGTGGCGCCAACTGGTGAGCGCTAAAACGATAGCCCTCATTGCGTAGGTTTGTCAAGAAAGTGGATATCCACCTTAAAAGTGTTTGTCAACTTGTTTCATACATCCTTTACCTATGTTAAAAGGGGTGATAAGATCTGAGACCAGTACCTCTAGTAGGAAAAACTTTCGAGTTCGTTTCGTTGCGTATTCAAAGTGTCATCGAAAAATTTTGTATGAAAAATTAAACAGCGCCCCCTAGGGCGGCTATAATATAGGGGGCGCTGTTTAATTTTTCATACAAAATTTTTCGATGACACTTTGAATACGCAACGAAACGAACTCGAAAGTTTTTCGTACTAGAGGTACTGTTTCCCAAACTATCAGTATGGTCGCAGTTCAAGGTTTAGTAAATGGGAGAACGTCACATAAAACAACGTGTATTAGATAAATTAGAGCAAAATGTACAGTAAAACAAACACAAATCAAAATTCTTTAAAACAGTCAAGTATCAAAGTAGGTAATATTTGCTGAAAAGTTAAAAATGAGTGGGAATGACATTACGTCGTGACGTCAGCTAACACGATTCGTGACAGTTCTAACATCACATAAGTCATTTTTGGAGGTTTTGTCATGCCAATCACTCTATGCTCAGCTGATCAAAAGACAAGTTTCGAGGTCATAAGTTAAAAAAAGGATTTCCATTTTTTTTATGTGACAGGAGGCAAACGAGCAGGCGGATCACCTGATGGTAAGTGATTACCGTCGCCCATAGACACCCGCAGACCCAGGGGCGTTACAGGTGCGTTGCCGGCCTTTAAGGTGAAGATACGCTCTCTTCTTATCTGCTTACGTGATGTTAGACCTCAAGATATAGCATCATTTAGTTAAGTGCTCGCCAGCGAAGCTCCACGCTTCGTGATTCACTCAAACACCACACGACATACCCCCCGCCGATGGTGACCATAGTGTTATCAGCCGCCATGAACAGTGACCTCGCGTGAGGGGTGCGAGGATCCTCGTCTTCTTGGAGACATCCCACCCAGGGGTACTTAGCTCGGACCGGGTGGAGGCTGCAAGTGGGAAGGGTTACTAATAAGTGGGAATAAAATGACTGACCCGCCGCCGATGGTGATCATCTTGGAGTCGGCCGCCATGAAGAGTTCGGAGCCGTGGGATAAGCGGGTGTCTTCGCCCTTACTGTCTGGAGCGGCGACGCCCACCCATGGATATTTCGCGCGCTCCGGGTAAAGGCTGCAAGCGAATCACGTTGGGACACTGCTCGGTTGTGCTGTTAGCGGTTCGTTAGTGATGTGCTTTGCTCCAGATTCGAGTGGTGTCATATTTTGATGACATGATACTTTTTTGGGCCCATTATACGAAGCAACAATCTGAACTAGTTTCAAATGCAAGCAGAGATTCAGACCTTTGATTGACTGATTTCAGTCTAACGCCCGTATTCACAAACGATGCTTGCTTAAGTGAAGCAGCAAATCGAACGCACAGCGTTGAATAAAGCTCTGTGGTTGGTTCGTATTTGATGACCTTGTGCGTCCACGCACACTGTGTGACCTCATAGTAATGGTTGTGAATACGGGCGTAAATTTTAGACAGTAAATCGCTAAGCATAGTCTACGCTTGATTTTGATAAGAGTTTAGAGTTGTTTTGTAATACGGGCCTGAACTTAGTACAATTGATTTGTTACGGAATTTGGAACATAGTAAGGTTCTTTTAATTGAGTATAAAATCATAAATCACATTATGAATGACGAACTGAATAATATTAGATTCAGGTTAATTAAAAAACCAAAGCATGACGTGAAGATAAGTTATGTACAATTAATGGCAATGCCAGATTTTGTATGGAAAGTGGCGTCTTTTTTTTTCGCGCGGCCATCGATCAAACTTTGTTTTTTGATTACAAAATAGTGTAATAAACCAAACTTACTATGGCATGTATACCTCTAAACTCAGTCTGAACTGAGTTACGAGCATTAGAAGTTTGATGATTTTCATACTAGATTTGCTTTTTGTGCGCAAGTTTTGTAAGAAATTGCAACAAAATATTGCGATATTTTTTTATTGCGCTGATTCTGCTCCATACTGATGTCTGGAGCATTTAATGGATGGTATTGTTTGTTTACACATACAATCTCACTAGTTTGTTGCAATTTCTTACAAAACTTTGCGCGCAAAAAGCAAATCTAGTATGAAAATCATCAAACTTCTAATGCTCGTAACTCAGTTTAGACTGAGTTTAGAGGTATACATGTCATAGTAAGTTTGATTTATTACACTATTTTGTAATCAAAAAACAAAGTTTGGTCGATGGCCGCGCGAAAAAAAAAAGACGCCAATTTCCGGCATTGTCTTTTCAAAATGGTCTCACATTTTTAAATCAACAAACCGCAAACAGCACAAACATTATTGTATACAGAATGACGTATACATTATAATCGATGAAATTGAAATATTAATTGTCATGCACAAAAAGATAAAAATAAAAACAACAAACAAAATAATAATTAACTATTACAGATATCTAAATGTCATAAACTATAAATGCAGCATTAAACAACCAACAAAACACACAAAAGACCAAAACAAACTAGTCATATTTTAGATATCAGTACATACAAAAACAATAAAAACAACAATATTTTTGTAAACAAGTTAAAAAAAACAAGTGTTGCATGCAAAGAGTAGTAAGTCCACCGTGATACGCACAAGTGAACAGAATAGCAAGGACTGGGCAGCTTTTACTCGAAGGATCCGATTAATGTAAATAGAAGTCTAAATAGATAGACATAAATTAAAAATATAAGCCCCAAAAATAATACATAAAATATTATAAACTATTTCATAAATTAGGTAATGGCTACAAACTAAGCAGAGCTTGGGCTATAGCATCTAATAACATACATATACTAAATAAATGAGAAAGGACATAAGAATCAATGTAACGATGTGGTTTTGTTGGTATACCTAATAAACAAATACATAATCATAGAAATCCGAATAATAATACGACAGATTGCATTTACCCACATACTAATAAAAGTTACACCCATGTTAAACAGCTACTTTTTTATTATTTCCATACCAAAAGTTACTTAAAGTAGTGGTCTAGCGGTTCAACAATATTTTAACTTCCCTCCGGGATAAATTTTGCCTTCACTACTTGCATTTATATTGACAAGCCAATACTGCTGTGTAGCCAGAATCTACAATCAGCAGTTACAATGGGTACGAAAGTAGAAAATAGTGAGTTGCACCATCTTACTTTAACTTTGACAAACGTCAAAAGTGTGTCAAACTCCATACAAAAATCACCGGTTATCGTCATAGTTACTGTAACAGTTAGGTGGTGCAACTCAGCCTAAGTGATTCAACGCGTAACTTTTATCAGTAATTAGATTAGACTATAGGCTTCATCTAAAGCCCGGTCTGCGAGCACGTAGAATTTTGTCCAATGACCCCAAGCTACCATCCTTATCGCTCGCACACTCACTGCGGGCGTCCGTCGCATAGTCGCGACAGCAATATAATTACGCGCGAGCGATAAGGATGGGTAGCTTGGGGTCATTGGACAAAATTCTAAGTGCTCGCAGACCAGACTATAAGACCTGGATTAAGGATCTCACTCACCTGAACAGGAATGTCTCGCCGGTCCCGAAGTAGGCCTGCCGGTTGCCGCGCTCGTCTTTCTGGTTTCGTTCGAACCACCGCGTCGAACAATATGCTCCGAACACCTGTGGGAACATTTTAGTATAATTCTTACTTGATAAATTTTTATAAATTAGTTGATTAAGCTGAGGTGTGGATTTTAATTCTGGATTGTAAGTTCTTCTATGGTTCGAATTGTAAAAATTGTGGTCACAAGTCAGCCATCCCTGATGACAGACTTATTAAAACGCTCGATTCCTGGATCTGATTCAGAGGTGGTAAGCACTCTGAATCGAACTCCCACGGTCACAGCAAGCTCCTGGATGCGGGCAGCGCAGGACAGATCGTTGTGGAGAAATCCTTGGAATAAGCGCTCTTCAGTGATATACAGCAGGTGGTAGTGCACGCTACCTGTGTTGTTATGCTGCCTACCTCGTTGTTGCAAGTCTTGATCATCAGCAGCGTGGGCTCATGATGCTCCACACGCACGTAGAAGGTAGTTAGTGAACAGCCGTGCTCCTCAGTTGTATAAAGCAGCACTGGCTGATACATCGTGATGCGGACCGGGAGCCACGACCAAAGAGTGAACAGCTGGAATAGCGAGGGATATGTCTTAGAATTACACCTGGATTCTTTGGTTCACAGTTCTACTGTTACTCATGTTTAGTGATCTAACGTTATGCAATCAATGATGGTTAAAATTTAGTAACATGAAGTTCACTTGACAATGTCTATTCATTGCCATTTCATGTTTTAGTGTATTAAAAAAAATTACTTATACTTCCAAGTCATATGACTAATACAAAGTGTTGATTATTAATAAATTGTATTAATATGGCTCATAGAAGCATTTAATATTCAATTGAAAATTAAGCACAAAAGTTGTAAAGTTAATGAATTTAGGAGGCACGGAAGTGAAGGCCAAGTTCTATATCAAATATGGTAAATATCACAAAGTTCGACTATTTTAGATGAGCCTTAGTTCTCGGGACAATTTATTTAATTCTATCACAGTACTAATAACAACAGTAATAATAAATCAGTCTAAGATAAAAACTAATAACACAGATGGACGTCACAATATTAGTGGTGTCATATTAGTAAACTCCTACAGTGTGGTGCGGTGCATACATCAAACGGTCCATACGTCATACATGTAGTAAAACTGTAATACAACTACGTAACAACTAATAATACGGGACAAACGACATCGCATGCAACATTAACGACATTCGTAGATAACTAACTTTGTAACTCACTATCGGAGCCAAGTTTCGCGCCTTTAAATAGTGTAACAATAAAATTTAATCACCCGTGAGGATTGTAAACAAAAACAAATGGTTTGTCTTAATTATTTATGATTTATTTTTAGACAAATGTAACACAGATCATTGTAATGATTAACAGGCAGAAAATTTGGCTCGACATACCTAACTCTGCTCTCTTGTACGCCAATTAAAATTACCTTTGCTGTAAATCAAAACTATATCAAGTGATCTATCAGTCCACCTTTGTAGACAAGCTATATTAATTTTTTATTTGTACAATAATTTAATGAACGTGCCAGGAACAGAGATAAATATGAATATTAATACTTACTTTATTAAAGTTTTCACAATAACAATACGTTACGTTACATGCCTATCAACTGTGCTACAGATGAGATAAGTTCTAACTAAGCTAATGTTGTGTCTAATAATAAGGTTTAATGTTGTGAGGTGGGTACAACTGGCCTCACGGACCCTAAGTTGCGATATCTCTCAAGGAACGCGCACGGTACAGATAGAACATAGGCCATATACCTAATACAACAGGGTGTAATTTTGAAAGGTGCGAACGTATAGCGTAGCGGTGTTGCCAATTGTGAACGTTTAGAAGTTTACGTCAACATTTAAAAATTAAATTTAACTTAATCCATTAACTTCACCAGAGTTATTAAAATAATTAATTGGATCGATGTAAGTGAAACCAATTTTTTCTAACTTGGCTGGACTCGCTACCGCGTGTCTTGATTACATATTTGGTTTTTCAATCAATAAAACTGCTGACATTACCATACATTACATGTGACCAGAGAAACGTTTAAAAATTAATTTAAATTAAAGAGAATAAAACTGAATGCCATAAAGAATAGTAAAACATTTTCATTAATAACAAATCCTTATCAATACATCTACTTAGTACATGATAAATTAACGCGGTACCCTACTTCTTCGATAAACGCAACGCGATACAAAACGCTACACGACGCGACAAATATTTCCTTTTGATCGCGTCTCATTTCAGATTGGCACGAGTCGATGTCGCGTTTGTCTCTAATGTAAAACAAAACAAAGAAAATTGAAAAAAAAAAAACAAATGTTGACGCAAACATCTAACCAAAAGATTACATAGAGAGATATCATAACATGCACGAACTGAGTGCCACCACATCTACCCCCGATTAGTTGTATTAACATCAACAGCCAGTGCTAATGTTGCAACGCTTCGATAGCTCACGATTGTAATTCGAAAACTAGAAACGATATCGACAAAGAGCTTCCAAGTAAAAAATGCTTTGAATTGTAACTTTTTGTAATGATTGTGATTCTTCGCACCCTTGTTTTTAATCTATGAAATCTCTTATCGATACCACCCTAGTTCCCAAGACATCGATTGAACTATCGATAGCGCGGGCAGCACTAGCCGGCGGTCAAACCTTCTGCCTGAGGTCGGAGGAGTGTTGGCGCTGGTCCTTGAACACCGCGTTAGGGAATGGGAACCACAGGGCCAGGTGTGAGGAGCGCGGGCTCTGTAACACCGCACTGTATGATGATGACCAGGCGATTTGTGGCTATTTGGGGTGACTGGACGTGGGTGGGTTTAGACTTATTTGACAATAACATTTCAAATCAAATCAAATCAAATTCGTTTATTTGTGGAACATAGGTAAATAACATATTACAGGTGTAATAAATTTGACAGTGCAGAAGACTTTTCTGCATTGCATTTTACTACTATAGCTGTAGCGCTTAACTGAGAGTGTCTGAGGTATGGTAGCGGCACAGGAGGGGTGATTTTGACATAATTATGACGTGACAGAGCATACAAATCTGACGACTCGCTAACATTTGACGTCAACAAAAGCACCGTCCCGAGCCAATCCCATACCCAGTTACTGACAGAGTTAAGCGCCTATAGTTTTCATACAATTTCTAGAAGGGCAGACGCAGCGCCATTTCTGTCATGGTGCGTCCACACTGGGCGAACGGGCTCGCGCGGCACGCTGGTCATCCTGCTCACCCTGCTCTTGTTGAGTGAGCAATATGTCGAGTTTGCCGCGCGAGCCCGTTCGCCCAGTGTGGACGCACCATTACACAAACGACGTGTGTCGCGCTTCTAGAAATGCAAAGTGGTGTCACTACCTCACGCCTCTAAATTGAAGGCACCCAGGTTCAATATAATGAGAAATTTTGACATCGTAATCTATGATTTGTGACATCATCTCTATTCGATTCTTTTTTATGACGTCAATCGTGCGCATGAACATTGGTTAGGTCAATGTCAAGCTTTTAAAAAGACCTAATGAATTATTATTTACCTGTGTCACCCGTCAAAGTTGTTTTTAGAATGGTAATTCTCGGTTAAAAACGGTAAATCATCATGTTACATTCTTGTCGGGTTGCCCATTGTGCAGAATGCGCGTGTAACCGTCAATTGTTTCAAATTGTGATAGGTGCACGCCCAGTCAACCCATTAGGCCACGCCTACTTGCTCGTATAGCGTCTACCCACAGTGACAATGAGTTAAACACAAGTCTAACGGCCGAATACTGAAACGCCATTTAAATATTTGACGGCTTCTCAAATAGTTAAGCAGCTCCTAAACTTACATTTCGCATACTCAAAACAATATCTGAGCAGTTCTCAATTTTTAAGCACCTCTCAAAGTAAGTTGCACTCAAACGCCACTTAAATGAATTTTCGAATATTGAAACGCCATTCAACGCTAAGCATTACTCAAACAACTGTCAAATCGTCTTGAGCAGCCGTTAAATTTGAGAGTGCTTGCGCGGTATCTTAAATCCTATTCTTATACCTAAATCGACCTAAATAGTGGTAAATAATGTCTGTGTCATCGTTATCATTTCTTTCGAGCCTCGAGGAAATACCTAGATCTAATCGCAGGAACGCAATAAGGCTGAACGCTATTGAAAAATATTATTATAATGACATGCAATTCCGAGCGAGGTTCCGCGTCTCAAAAGAAACGGTGTTGTTTCTGGATTCCTAATTTGGAAGCTCTTTGAAACCCCTCACCAAACGCCATACAACCAGTGGACCAAATACTTATTATAACCCTACGGTTCTACGCAACGGGAAGTTATGAACGTGTGTACTAGGTGATATCTTCCACATCGAACAGCCAACTGTGCATCGTATAGAGCACAAAGTAACAACCAAAATAGCTGCTATGAAATCGCTTTACATAAACATGCCTACTTCTGAGGAATATAATAATATGGGGACATCGCAGCATTTCCAAGAGTTGTTGATTTGTCAATTTGATGCTCTGTCAACAATGATAAATGTCAATTGTGGTTACGTTTCGGTCCACGATCGCCACTTAATAGATTTCAACAATAAAAAGTTTCACCTTTAAAATTATTTTTTAATTAAATAAAAATGCAAGCGTTAATTATTTTATATAATAAAACGAGAATTATGTATAATAGAAACTAAAAATAAACTGTTCTATGTTAAGTTGATTGAGTATATTTCCATAAAAGACAATACATAACCAAACGATGCTGCGTGTAATGGATAAAAAACGTAAAGTTATCATTTGTGTAAATGAAAACATACTTTTTTTGGTAAATGTTGCCACTAGGTAAACATTTGAGAGCTGCTTAGCTGATCACGGCTTCAAATCCTTTGAGTGGTGTTTGAGAATACCATTTAAAATTGAAGGATACTTAAATTTAGGAGCCCGTCAGCTGAGTGAAAGATTTGAGTAGTGTTTCAGTATTCGGCCGTAAGAATCATGGGTCATGTATAACAGTTCGTTTTATGAATGACGAGCTTTAAATGTGTTGATCTAAATTGCTATTTCGTGACTGCTAAATGTCAATGAGAATTGAGAATGTTCTTTCATAAACGTCAGGTTAGTACTATATCACTTAATCGTAAGGAAGTTCGGTTTGAATCAGAACTTTTTTGCACCCATAGTATTTGATACATTTGTTTTGTCCGGTATAATGACGTCCTGTAGAAAAATCTGCTATAGAGACGATATTTTAGATAACTTTAAAAATATTAAATACAACAAACTGTACAAACGTCGACAACGGTCATACTCATAACCAAACAGTCATGAAAGAAACGCAGCTCATGCAAAACTAGCTGGATACTTACCACGGATCGCAAACAAAACGTAAAAACAAAAGGAAGCAACGTCTATCTGGTCTTGTCAAGCGGAGTTTGCCTCCAAATGTAAAAAAAAACACCTAAGTGACAAGCGGTGCATCTAAACATCGATATTGTCAAGCTCGGATTGAGCGACACTGAGCGAATGTTGTCTCTTACTTCACTTTGGTCAAGTATCTGGGACTTGAGCGCTTGGATAGGATATACGCCCATCGACAGGGCGCGCGGGCCCGGCGAATGTGAGCCCTAACGGAAAATCGACACACAGTTAGCACTCACAAAGTCACAAACAATCGACGCATGCGACGTCACAACCTATAACTCGCATGTTAATCAAATCTCAAGCTATGTTCATCAGTTGTTACTGTTACACTAATTTACATCGGTTTTTATCTTTGCTTTATCTCACACGCATGCCATGTTCAAGTTCTTAACACCTGCACGTAATTCATTTTTAAGATAGTATCTTACAGAATAGAAACAAAAACACTGAAACACTGAAAAATAAAAGTAATTCAAACAGTCAAAGCTAATGAGATGATATTGAATATTCCCCTCTTTTATCGATTATGAAGATTATCGATTGAATGATCACATAGACGACAACATGATAATCATTCGCAAAACTTGCCGCTACACAGACTGAACATAACAAAACTGTGGAGTCGGAAACTAAAATAGGAAAAGAATTTACAAGTTACAAAAAAGACTGGACACTCAATGCGTCTAATCGTGTCGAATTTGCAAACGAATTCGATTTGAAGTTAGTCATGTTAGGATCGCAATCGGATGATCGTATGATAAAGAAAAGCCAAAGCCACGCCTAATGCCTCCGTGTACGATACCATCTGTTTGCCCGTTTCCTCAGGCATTTTCTGCAAACCAAGTAAAATCATCTGATATACAATAACTGACAATATAAAAAGTATTGTGCGTGTGTGAGTTAGGATATCTTTAGTGTCTGTTAGAAAAATTACACCCGTGGAATTTAAACCATCCTAAATTGTATATTTCCCTATTTTATTCGTTCTTAGCGAAAAAAACTTCAGTCGAAATTGATAAAAAGTTTCCCTGTAAGTGTTTTTGCATTATTATAAAGGCGTGTACAGACGCTACGAAGCATGTGGCAAAGAAAAAAGGTTCTCACGTATCGCAGCACTGATAACTTACTATTTATTTACTTGTCAAGTTTATTACAATAAAGCTGTATATTAATATTTGCCCGACAGTGAATATTATCAAAATCTTAGCGAGCGTTAAATAAATCAATATCGATTTGGCGATTCCCAAAATTAAATAGTCAATAATATTTTTGACCGAACGCAATGGAGGACTGTTGTGGACGCCCTCTGTCCCATCTAGGGGACATAGGACCTTTATGCCCGTTTTTACCATCAATCCCTAATTTTAAGTGACCCCAATGGTAACACATAACAGGAATTTTGTTTTCAAAGGGGTCTCTTAAAAATTAGGGATTGATGGTGAAAACGGGCATAAGTCAAGTAAGTCATAATATTATCTGTCGAGTCACAACTTTTACATTTTACGTATAATCAAGTCTTTAAAAAGGCATATTTAAAAAATCTACGTCACAATTTTAGCCAACAAAGTGCTGGTTAAATAAAATAGTGCCACACGCTCCGCATCCTGCACCCGGCTTAACTTTATGATACAGTAGTGTGCGTAACCAACCTCTCGTATCGTGAGTGTGTGCGACATCATCTGGATGTTGACCTGCGACTGGCTGGTGGGAAGGTTATCAGACGACCTGGATCGGACGAGCCGGGAGCCGGTGATCACTTGCTTCGACTTGAGGGTCATCTCGGTCTTAATGAACACCCTGGATATGTACTGTGAACTGGAAATGAGAATTGGTTAGGAGGTATTGGAAACTGGGTTTGAAGGTCAGCCTCTTTAGGTCCCGTTTCCGTCAAAGAGGACAGGAGAGAAAATGTGTCTGAATAGCAATTCAGATTTAGTTTCTAAATCATTTCTCCGCTCAGCTTCTGTACAGAAATCTATTTGGTCATTCAAACACATCTCTCCGCTTTGGTGGTAAAGGGGACCTTAGAGTAATATACTTGTTTTAATTGGGTAGTGGACTCTAGTCAATCGACGTACTTTCTATGTCAGTTTATCTGTCAAAACTCAACTTCTCATAGAGTTTTTTACGGCAAATGGCAAGTCTTACGACGTCATCAGGTTTTATCCATATATTCATTGGTTTTAACTCATAGTCATAACATAATCAAAATTTTCATTGTTTTTGACCTTAAGACAAGCGAATAAGGCTCAAAATATGGTGGGAACTATATTCCCACTGCCTTTCAAAGGCTTAAAACTAGTAAAAATCTTATTTTATAGACAATTGAAAAAAATGGCAGTGTACTGGTAGATAATGAAGATTAATTACACCTGAAAAAAATATCAAATATGCGACATTGAATTTACGTAACATTGGATTTTTACGTTTACGTCAGCAATGCGGGTGTTATTTTACATAATAAATTAAATACAGTCACGCAATGTGCCTGTTTATGTCACAAGTATTCCAATCAAAATATGAGGTTCGTCGTTTAATTAATTTATTATTAAGGGTTATTACTATAATTAATAATTACGATTATTGCTTATGCTAAAATTAATAAATTCATCGGAAAATTATCAGAAAATTTCTCGAAGACTTCTTTCGACAGCTTATAAAAAGTATCAGTATACATATTTTATAATCCGATAATCCGGGCCTCTTCAAGGCGAGAGTGAATAGGCACTTACAGGGCAGATATGTACCATCCTAGACTGCATCCCACTTAACATCAGGTGCGATTGTGGTCAAATACCTGCCTTGTTATGCATAAAAATAAAATAAAAACAGTTGACTCACCAGTCAACTACAAAACAACTTTTTATTAGGTTTAGGTGATCAAACCAAAACACTGTTTCTCCTGCAGGGATTTATCCACATTCAACATCACTTGTATGTTCTGTCTCAAATTCATCTGACCAAATTAAGAATTTAACAAAGAACGAACATTCGACACTTTTCACACATAATTTTCAAAATCGTAGTTTTTATTACTCAGTTTAAGGATTTTTTTTGGTGCTGGACAATCGGGAGGCTGTTGTCTGATTTTCTTGGTCTGAAGATGAAATAATGCTGATGAAGACTCCTACCTTAGAGCTCTGATGCTGAAAGCCGTCCTCAACAGCTTGGTGGGAGACGCTGGCATGTTCCTGCAGAACTTGTCGATGGCGTGGTCGACGCCGTTCTTGGTCGCCTCCGCGTACCACTCCGAGTTCTGATTCGTCGAGTGCTTGTTGAAGAGGATCAGTATCGCTAATGCCACCCTGTAGAACACCTGTAGGGGAAGAAATGAGTGGGTATCATCTTGATGTATAATTGTGAACTATTAAACAAGAGCTGTACAATCGACAACACATGAGGCTCTATATTTTTATTGTACTTTATATGTGTCACCTCGTGTATTGCGTCGCCTGTACATGAAATGATAAATATCAGCTTCACGGCAAGCTGTCAAAGGTTACGTTTTTGGGCGTTTCTTACATGTCATAAGTCTTCATGCGTAATGCGACATTCAACATGAGAGACTTCATATGCGAAGAAGATGCGAGAAGGGCAGTGCAGAGAGGATCCTTAATGCCAGTCGGTGTAGATGACAGCATTGGCACCTAAATGTCATATCTCGCGTGAGCGGCTCTATCAGACATAAAGGTCTCTGTAGCTACGGTTCTGGTGGTCTGGCCTTGATGCCCTCGTGGAAGAAGCAGTCTAGGACGCGTACGAGGTGCGGGAAGGGCAGCGCAGCCAGGATCCACCACTGCCAGTCGGCGTAGATGCGCTGGGAGCCAGTAAACATCTACACGCATCATTGCGCCCACTCTAGCTACTGCTCTGGGGGTCCTACCTTGATGCCCTCGTCGTTAGAAGCAGTCTAGGACCCGTACAAGGTGCGGGAAGGGCAGCGCAGCCAGGATCCACCACTGCTAGTTGGCGTAGATGCGCTGGGAGCTAATAAACAGCTACGTCCACTAATGCGCCAACTCTAGCTACTGCTCTGGTGGTCCTACCTTGATGCCCTCGTGGAAGAAGCAGTCTAGGACGCGTACGAGGTGCGGGAAGGGCAGCGCAGCCAGGATCCACCACTGCCAGTCGGCTTAAATGCGCTGAGAGCCATTAAGCAGCTACACACATCATTGCGCCTACTCTAGCTACTGCTCTGGTGGTCTTACCTTGATGCCCTCGTCGAAGAAGCAGTCTAGGACGCGTACGAGGTGCGGGAAGGGCAGCGCAGCCAGGATCCACCACTGCTAGTCGGCGTAGATGCGCTGGGAGCTAATAAACAGCTACGTCCACTAATGCGCCAACTCTAGCTACTGCTCTGGTGGTCCTACCTTGATGCCCTCGTGGAAGAAGCAGTCTAGGACGCGTACGAGGTGCGGGAAGGGCAGCGCAGCCAGGATCCACCACTGCCAGTCGGCGTAGACACAATAGGAGTTGCTGAGCGATTTTATCCATCTTAACCGTTCTCTAGTAGTCTTACCTTGATGCCCTCGTGGAAGAAGCAGTCTAGGACTCGTACGAGGTGCGGGAAGGGCAGCGCAGCCAGGATCCACCACTGCCAGTCGGCGTAGATGCGCTCGGGACCGATCGCTCCCGACAGCCGCGACAGGTGCTGTGCCGCCGACTTCTGCAACCAATTTATGACAGTGTACGGAAACCGTAACCACCTATTTACCACATTATGGCTACTAGTGCTATACTTGGTTGATTGGGAGTTTTGTATTTTAATAAAACAAATATCAAGTTTAACTAATCTATCAACTTAATTTGTCAAGTAACACGCTACGTAGTTTAGCATGGGTCTTTTTACCATAATATTAACAATCAGTGATGTAACCTGTCCAAGATAATAAAATAAATTATTTTGCGTTTACTTAGCCGTCAGGCATTATAATCTTAAAATCAATATGTACCTATAATCCTGCTGTAGGAAACATACTCCTAATCTAGTAAATATTTTATAAATCTTATGTAACACTTAAGTTTACGCATTGGATTTTGGATAACCCCAGCCCAACGCGACAAGGCTCTTATCAGTAAATTATAGTGATTCGAAGAAAACTTTAATGGAACTTAAATCAACTTTACCACCACTGCCGTACTATTTGCTTGTCACAGCTGTAGCGATTGATTGTACCAATTAGTCGCTATAAAAAAGCTATTACATCACGTGATCGTAGTATTAGTGTAGGCGCACACTAGGCGACACGCGACAGCGACTAGACGCCTATTCTTGTCAATTTCATTTTTTTTCAACCACAACGAGGAGGCTCTTGGCCTGTATCTCACCTGATGGTAAGTGATGATTAGGCCGAAGGTGGAAGCGAGCTTCACCCAGAATCCTCAACCATGGAGGAACTGGCTATCTTACCTCTACTGCCGGAACACAACAATGTTTTTAACATTGATGTTATGGCGACAAACTTAGGTAAGATGGTGGTATCTAGCCAGGCGGACTTAGAAAACGCCGTACCACCAACCAAACCGAACAGAAAAATCTGCCCCCACTGGGAATCGAACCCGGGACCTCTGCGTCTGAAGCAGGTGGTCTTACCACTAGACCACAGAGGAGGTTGATCATATATCAGCTTGTCGTTGCGAGTCAGCGACTCTGACGCCAACTATGCGAACTTTGAACAAAATATGTTAAATTGTCAGCCGCAGCCAGTCGTCGCATCTAAGTCGCCTAGCTGTTGCTGTCGCGTGTCGCCTAGTGTGCGCCTATGCTTAGTCGCATAGCTCTACTCGCCCTCGCGTGTGGCGAGGGGTTTACTCATCGATTACTTTAAAGAACCGAGCTAGAAGTTTATGTTGTAGAGAACGTGAAAGGTTTACATGTAAATAAATCGTTCACTCAAATGTAATTAAGGAGTCAAGTAACGCAATGTTTCACGGTGAAAACTTATTCCTAACTAACATCATCCCTAATTAAATTTTCTAAGGTAAAATGCTCCAAATACGTATGTTTGTAAAAATCTAATCGGAGTATGCATTTGCATACATATACAGGGTGACAGGCAAAATAAGACTGTTCCTTGAAAGGGTTATTTTAGAGATCATTAGCAACAAAAATCTAGTGAACCAATGGTCAAAACTGGATGATTACAGTGTGACGGTTCTTCGAAAGCTAAAAACAAAAGTTGAGCGACTTTTAACTTCTAACTATGGATGGGTTTTATAATTTAGTAAGTACCTGTGGCGTTTTTGTACAAATCCCTCAACACTTCGATATATCGATAGTCAATTTGGCACCTTTGGAGAGACTGTAGCACTGCCCAGGTCTCGACCGAATCGAAGGCTTTCTCATAATCCACAAACGCCAGGCAAAGTGGTTGATTATACTCCTCGGTCTTCTGTATAATCTGCCTTAGCGTATGTATGTGGTCTATGGTACTAAAGCCTTTTCGGAAACCGGCTTGTTCGGGAGGCTGGAAGTCGTCGAGCCTGCGAGCGAGACGATTCGTAATGACTCTTGAAAACAGCTTGTCGGTCCGCCTCCAGGATCGGGATTCGAAACCTATCCAGTTGCAGCGAGGGGTAAGACAGGGAGACGTCATATCTCCAAAACTGTTTACCACCGCCCTGGAAGATGTCTTCAAGCTTCTGGACTGGAACGGATTTGGCATAAATATCAACGGCGAGTACATCACCCACCTTCGATTCGCGGACGATATCGTAGTCATGGCTGAGACCTTGGAGGATCTAGGCACAATGCTCGATGGCCTCAGTAGAGCCTCTCAACAAGTGGGCCTCAGAATGAACATGGACAAGACAAAAATCATGTCTAATGTCCGTGTTGCACCCACTCCTCTGAAGGTTGGAGACTCTACACTCGAAGTTGTCGACAATTATGTATACCTGGGACAAACAGTCCAGTTAGGTAGGTCCAACTTCGAGAAAGAGGTCAATCGTCGAATCCAACTCGGATGGGCAGCGTTCGGGAAGCTTCGCCATATACTCATGTCCGAAATACCGCAGTGTCTCAAGACGAAAGTCTTCGAGCAGTGTGTGTTGCCAGTGTTGACATATGGATCCGAAACGTGGTCGCTTACTATGGGCCTCATAAGAAGGCTCAAGGTCACCCAAAGGGCGATGGAGCGGGCTATGCTCGGAGTTTCCCTGCGTGATCGAATCAGAAATGAGGAGATCCGTAGGAGAACCAAAGTAACCGACATAGCTCGCAGAATTGCTAAAATCAAGTGGCAGTGGGCGGGGCACATAGCTCGTAGAGACGATGGCCGTTGGGGCAGGAAAGTTCTCGAGTGGCGACCACGGGCTGGAAAACGTAGCGTGGGCAGGCCTCCTACTAGGTGGACCGACGATCTGGTAAAGGTCGCGGGAAGAGCCTGGATGCGGGCAGCGCAGGACCGTTCATTGTGGAAAACCTTGGGGGAGGCCTTTGTCCAGCAGTGGACGTCATTTGGCTGAAACGAACGAAGTACCTATTTGATTCTCGTTATATTTCACCACTCATGAGTGCTATTTTGGGCGCCATTAATAAATTCAATCCCCAAACCCCCGAAATGTTCGCACAAGGCACTCAATTTTCATGTTTTTCATTATAAATGCACAGTTTGCTATGCCCGGGAGCGTGTGGCATAATTTATTGCCTCCATATTTTCAGGTTGCGTTGGAACAATGTCAAAAAATGGCGGGCTTAAATTTAATAAAGTATGATGCCATCCAATGTCAATGGTTTTGTCAAAAATGAGAGTTTTGACTAAGGGAATATTAACTTTCTATTTAAAAAAAACACCCCCTAGTGTTTTCTTTAATATTGTCATCCTAACCCCTAACCTATACAGGGTGGGAGTTAAGGGCCAAAAGAGTATAATATATATGTTGTTGGTATGCCATATGAATAAAATAAAATAAAAATAAAACAAATAAATAAATTAAATAAAAGATATCGATATTAAAACATTGTTGAAGATGTTCTTTAATACCTGTCTCTTACACCCTGTTTACTTTCTTATTCATTACTTCTGTTTTCGGCTTTAAATGCACATCGACTACACTCACTGATAATAAATTAGTTTTAAATAGCCCCGTAAGCCACCCACCCACATGTTATTGTCTACCACGGTCAGCCGTGGTGCCATTCACCCAGTAATCACTATCGAACGGCCCCGATGGTTCAGTTACCTATGACCTGAACTTTATGTCATTGAAGATCGATTCAAATAGTAAGTTCGTTTAGTTAAATGTAACTCAAAACTAGAGTCAAACTCCAGCGATTGAAAATGTGGTTCAAAACTCGATTTCAACTCTAGCATAAGTTATATATGGTAATATACAACGTGTCCCAAAATTCAAGGATAAGCCAACACCGCAGGGTGGACATAGTCATGACTACTTTAGGAAAAATAAGAAAAAAAATCTATCTCAATTATTTTTGAAGTTACACAATAAATTATGAAATTTGTCGAAAATTGACACCCCTTATGATATTTTACATTATCACGACCACAATTTTTCAAATACTTCTGTTTTTTTGTTTGTATCGGCAACTTAAGTAGTGCTGCTGTCCACTTCAATTCTTAAAACCCTCAGAATCCTTGCAGTTTTTACACAAAAGTTAATCAAAATATGATATTTCCTTAAAATTTTAAACGAATTTTACTTTGACTCCACTTTGACTCGTCCTTTTGTAAAAAAACAGTATGAACACTACTGCGGCAAGTTTTTTATAAAGTTGACGCAACTATCCAAGATTCCAAAATGGTATAATACTCTAAGAAAACTAGTCGCAAAAAAGATATGCGTACCATTTTTACAAGCACTTCGCTTGTTAGTTAGTATGGGATAAATCTTGCAATTAAATTTAAAACCAGTTCTCCTCAACCAATTGAGCTGAAATTTTGTATACTTATGTAAGTACGATGACATTGCAATATTATGGTATCATTGAGCTGGATGGAGTCTGGAGGTGGCCATAGGAACTTCTAAACGAAACGGCGGAATCGCATCTAGTTTGGGTTCGTTGGATATCTTTTCGAGCACTTTAGTGCTAGATGATGTCCAGGGTCCTGATGATGAAGTCAAGAGGTGGCCAGGAGCTGGCCAAATGAACTCCTAATCGAAATGGCGGAAGATTATCGAGTTTGGGTTCGTTGGATTTGACTTCCTGAGCACTTGGACCATGAGATTGAGAAACAACTAAAAAGTATAAAATAAAGTTTAATAAAAAAAAACGTTTTTAAAAACAAGCATTAATACGAAATTTTACGAAAGAATTTAACGATAAAAATAACTGTATGCAAGGTTCAAATAATTTCGAAAGTTTGTAGCGCAAACAGAAAAAAAGAGGAATAAATTCCATGCGCGATTATAACTTTATTTTAAACTTTTTAGTTGTTTCTCAATCTCATGGCCCAAGTGCCCGAGAAGACAAATCCAACGAACCCAAACTCGATAAGCTTCCACTATTTCGTTTAGGAGTTCCGATGGCCAGTTCCTGGCCACCTCTTGACTTCATCATCAGGATCCTGGACATCATCTAGAACCAAAGTGCTTGAAAAGACAAATCTAACGAACCTAAACTACATGCAATTCCGCCGTTTCTTTTAGAAGTTCCTATGGCCACCTCCAGACTCCATCCAGCTCAATGATACCATAATATTGCAT